TTTATGGCAACTTGGTTGTCGTGTCGCAGCTAAACGCCTCAGGTCGTCTTCGCTTAGTTTATTTTTTTAGTGGACTTCAGGCGCTTCAACCTAACCAGACCACTTCACACCCTGTAGACCAACAAGTGATTTATTTGCCAGTAAAGTGACTTTCTTATCTGATTTTTAGTTGTACATTTCTATATTGTTGTTATTTTGACACGTTGAATACGTCGCCGTTCCGTTTTCGTAACTTTTGCGCTTCCCACTAGACGTCACCATACTTCCTGCCCGAATTCGCCTCTGGTCTTCGTCCACTTGTCGTATATCTCCTCTTACGTCTGCCTAACACGCATTGTGTTCTTAGAGCCGGAATTACCAACGGTCGACCAGAAAAGTTTGGCCTGCAATCTCACCATGTCGCCAATGGCCTCATCTTATTGGCCTCCGAAATGGGCCAGTTTCGAGAACTTTTGGAGAACTAGCTCACTGGTGGCGGCGGGCTCTCCATCCGGGAGCAGTTAGCAGTAAGTTTAGCACTGCAGATGGCCATGCGCTTGACTTGCAGAACTAACGGGACTTCCAAACGGGAGGATGCCGTTACAGAGGCGTGCGGCTTGAAAAGGGCAGACTTAAATCGTGAACAGTGCGATAATGCGACAGCGCTACTGGGCCCAGTTCAGGAGGATCTCGACCAAGAATAGTGCAACAGTAGTACTACTACAGTAGTACTAATAGTGCAACAGGAACGGCGTTATTTGGTCCGATGCGAACACTGGGTTACTCTGTGATCACATGGGGCCAGGGCGAGGCATCTTTGTCCGTGCAATGCATTGCAGGGGTACACTTGAAGCGTGCAGAGAAAAAAAAACACATGACATGACATTTGGCTACATGGCATGGGCATGGCTAGATTGTCCTCTGGCTTGCTTGCGATACAACCGAATTCGTAGCCAAAGACCTAACGACGTTTAGCTGATGACGGTAGTCGCACCTGCCTGTGCTGTGCCGCATACTGATCCATGCACAGCTGAGTCATGCCAAGTGACTCACATTGGAAAGCCGACCAGTCCCGAATGACTCACACGTGGCTAATACGCGATCGCTTTGTTTCACGGCACTGCGTGGCACGACATCGCCTCTTTACGGATAGCGACCGCCAACCAAGATGATGATATTTTGATGTCTTGAGGCTTCGCAAATGCAGAGGCCTCCCACCCAAGGCAGAAGCCTCCCAATCCCACGCACTGCGAGTCAGACCTCTGCCACACACCGAACGCCCATGAACCGTGTTCTTGCAAGCTGTAAAGTTGCACGCACATCGGGCGGTCGCGCATTATCGGGCAGTCGGGCGCCATCGGGAATTCTGGCGTCATCGGACAGTCGGGCACCATCGGAAAGCCGGACACCATTGGGCAGTCCGGCACCATCGGACAGTCGGGCATCATCGGGCGTCGGGCATCATCGGAAAACCGGGCATCATTGGGCAGGCGGGCATCATCGGACAGTCGGGCATCATCGGACAGTCGGGCATCATCGGGTAGTCGGGTATCATCGGAAAACCGGGTATCACTGAGCAGGCGGCATCATCGGACATTCGGGCATTATCGGGCAGTCGGGCATCATCGGAAAGCCGGCATCATTGGCCAGACGGGCATCATCGGGCAGTCGGCATCATTGCGCAGTCGGGCATCGTCGGGCGGTGGGGCGGTCTGTAGGGCGCAAATGAGCCGCCCATCCGCGCCCCGCTGCAGGGAACTCCTTCAAAATCCCTTGTCAGGTTAAGTCGCCAGTGCTTCTCAGCGTCTTGAGCTGAGAGGATAGGCTACTGTTGTTGACATTGCGTCACCCATGTTAGTTATGGATTGCTGCACTGTTCCCGACGGCTTGATGCTGTCTTTAACTGAGGACGGTTATCTACAGGCAGAGGCGCGGACGTATGACATTATACTGCACTATTGTGCACTTCAGTTTTAGCAGTGACAATGTGACATTGTGACATAGCACCTCCTTCCCACCCCCTCCCCCCCCCCCCACCCCACCCCACCCCCAGTAAGTCAGTGAGCAAATCTTGGGACTGATTCACTGCAACAGAACACCACTGGACCTAATGGCAATTATCATCCAACGTGGAGAAGAATAGCAGCCCAGCTCCCTCCTCGCATTCCGCTGGCTGCAAACGATGTTAAACAGCGCGCCAGTGAATACGCTCATGTTTGCTTTGTAGCCTGAACCGCAGAGCAGGAACGCAGTGCGGTACAGCCTAACATGAAGGACTCCTGCTGCGGCGTTGGAGTTCCCGGCTTGGTGGCTTCGCCGCCTTAGGCCGTTAAATGGACTATTCCACATTTTTGTGGGGTTTTGAACTGAGATCGTCATCTGCAAGACCTTTTGATGCTTTTCACAGTCCTGCCCTTCTTAAGACATAACTCGCTCTTGTTTTTGACCTACACGCCCGCGAAGATTGGAAGACTATTTCGGGGAAAGTATTTCAAGGTCACCTTGGCATTCATGACGCCATAATGACGTCATTTAAATACTAAAACCCATAAGCCATACGGTGATCAAGGCTAAGCAAACAACAACGGTCGAGTCGTTCATATCTAGCGTTTGTGAGAGCGATTTCCAGATATAACGGTCGCCAATTCGCTCTCAATCAAAGTTGTACAAGGTACGATGACGCAATCAAACAATGACGTATTGAGGAGCATATTAACTTGACAGAGTAATTGTGTTATCTAGAACAGTCCTTCTTACTTAAAAGTATGCTGAAAGCTGCAAGTGAGCTAGTTTCATTACATCAGGTGCTTACCTCAACATCTTCAAGTGTGAAACATTCTCTTTTATGTTCCCAACGACAGAAATTCGCAGGGGAAATTGGCACCTATCATTTCCAGGCTCTTAGACGACCTTAAAACTTTGCCTCCTGGCTTCGGGCTTGTGAGATAAATGACAGGATGGGTATAAAACGTACAGTGTGAAAGGCGATCTTCGCCATAGCTGGGGCAAATCGAGCTGCCGCATAACACTGACATGTTTGGTTACATCATTCGATGTTTACGGATACATCCAAAAAGATAATGGCCACCGAGTTAAGGTCAGTCAGCTGCACATTTCAGGACGCCTGAAAGGTTCGTGGGTTCGACGACGTGTGTCACGTGGGTGAAATAAACACCGAAGGTGTCTAGGCAGGGACAGGAGGTTCGATGGAAAGTAGTGGCAGCCCTTGGTCATGCCAGGTCTGTAAGCAGTGAGCAATATAAGCACTATCACAAATGGCATCAGGTCATTCGCAAGCAGCACTGATGCGTCCGCAGAATAAGCATTGTACAGCTTGCTGGCACGCCCGTCTGAAATACCTATTTTTGGAAAAAGGGGGACCAGCTGATGTGAGTTATGTAAAAGCATTTTAATGATGGAACCTTGGGAATCTATTGTTTTGCATCAACAATATTAACATTGATTTCTGTAAATCACGTACACTTATACGAATCCTCAAGCAATCCAAAACTCACGAATATGAGACCATAGTGTGGGCCCCAGATATGTTCGCGTGTGTTTCTGCGTGTGTATGCGTGGCGGGGGAGGTGCGCACGCCTGTACAAGTTTTCTTAAGCGCACAGCATTGTAGATGACCTCTAGATAGCTTTCTGGTGCTGTAGACGCCCTCCGAGGCAGGGTCCATGGCAACGTTCGTGCTTATGACGCAACGTCGATCCAGTCCCCGTGAGACTGGGGTTCGTGCCAGCCTTCAACAAGGAGAAATTGCTCATCATGCTGCACTCCCGATTCCAAAAATCTGAAACCCCGGGAGCAGACCAAGCTTTTGCTTTATTACTGTCAAAAGCACATGGCTTCTATCGATCAACACGAGGATTAAGTGCTTTCGAGGCACCGAGGTCACAGGTACCTTTCCAAATCTCCACATGCTCAGTAATATTATTTTCCACCACACCTAGCAACGCAACTGGCCTGGTGGCAGGTGGCCTTGAGACCAAAACATTATGACTTTCCTTTCACACGCTCCGCCACTGCCGCGTCACTTTCGACATCCGGTCGGGGTGCCCCGCGGCGTTTTTCCGGTTCGGCCCGCGCGCTGGCACCGGTCGAGTGACGTCACAGCGGTGCTAATGAATACAGATCACCGGCGCCGGGTCCCCCCGCCGCGGTCCGGGAGGGACCGGCCCTGATTGCCCCAGGCGGAACGGCCGCCGACTGATTGACAGAGCGCCGCACGGACGCGGGCGAACCCGCCCGAAGTAGAGCGACTCTGGGACTATGAGGGTTCAGTGGATGCGGGACGGGTGATGCGAAAATCAACACCGCAAGGCAGGCGTAAGCAAGGCTCCGTGACTATTGGGAGTTGCATGGGTTTAAAGGAAATAAATGGACGATAACAATAGGATTATGCAACTGTTCAGCGTGGTTCGAGAAATCACGAAGGCTATCGATGCCACAGAAATCCGATTCGAATTAGTTGTGTTAGAACACTGCAACATTTAATGACCGATAGTGATGCAGGGACCCCGCAGGAGTCGGAAGAGACTCAGTTTACCTGTCTTTCAGTTCTAATATGGCAGCATAAAATTTTGCAAAAGTCAGGGGTACTACTCCATCGTTCCCTTCCCTCCAACGCCACGCACAGCTGCCTCCACAATCCGCTACGGTTCCCGCCGGGGACCGTAGCGGATTGTGGGAGGTAGCTGGGGCGGCGTGAGGTATGCGGAGGTGCCTACCGTATGCCGTGGTTCAGGGTGTGTAAAGGTGTTTGTTGGTACGTCAGGGTGTCGGTATGTTAGAATGTGTCTGCCGGTATGTCGGGGTGTGTGGCTGGCACTGTCGGTATGCCGGGGGTATGCATATGTCTTTCGATATGCCTGGATGCGCGCATGTGTCTGTAGATACGTCGGTGTGTATAAATCCGCCTGTCGGTGTGTCGGGTTGTATGGATGGGCCTGTTGCCTTGTCAATATGTATGGATGTTTCTGTCGGTCTGCCTGACCAGGGTGTCTCCGTTTCAGTCCTCCACACCGGCGTCCGGCGCCTGCCCACCACCATGGAGAGCCTGGAGCCCAAACTGCAGCAGGTGAGCAGGACAGGCTCCGTGACCCGGCCCGTGGCCGCTCCGTGACCCGACCCGTGGCCGCTCCGCGACCCGGCCCGTGGCCTCACCGTGGTCCCGGCCCGTGGCCGCTCCGTGACCCGGTCCGTGACCGCTCCGTGACCCGGCCCGTCTCCTCACCGTGGTCCCGGACGCTGGCATGGAAAACGATGTCCTTTGGGTAGTCCTAGGTGCTAGCATGGCAGACGCTGTCCTTGGCGTGGTCTCGGGCGCTAGCATGGCAGACGCTGTCCTTAGCGTGGTCCCGGGCGCTAGCATGGAAAACGCTGTCCTTAGCGTGGTCCTGGGCGCTAGCATGGCAAACACTGTCCTTAGCCTGGTCCCGGGCGCTAGCGTGGCAGACGCTGTTCTTAGCAACAGCATACACTAGCGACCGGCGAGTGCTGCCGCAGTTAGCGTTTTTGCTGTGCTGTGGCTGAGTGACGATGCAAGCTCTAACAGGCCGGTTATTGACTGAATATATATCTATCGATGCATGATGTACTTATCTGACTACTAGCTTGGCTAGATTTGCTAAGAAATGTAACACAATAACACTAGAGGTTAGTAGAGGCCAATGGAAGGCAGCGTCGTGTCTGGAGCATGGGGATGGCGAAGTGTGCAGACTTTTCCTAGAGCCTCGCTGCAGAAATATTCAAGCCCCCAAGTGTCTTGCAAAAATTACGCAATGATAAAGTTGTAAGGTTTTGTAGGCGCAAATGCACAGTGACTTTAGACATGGAACCACGCTCTTGTTCAGTTCTTGATATTTACTCTTCTCAATGGTCCTAGCTCTAGGCAGGCACATCATTACAAGACGGACAAATCGCTACATCGACTTATCGACTAACACACCGTTAAAATGACAGACGCGTCGTTACATCGACTTATCGACTAGCACACCGTTATCATGACAAATACGTCGTTACATCGACTTATCGACTAACACACCGTTATAATGACAGACACGTCGTCACATTGACTTATCGACTAACACACCGTTATAATGACAGACGCGTCGTTACATCGACTTATTGACTAACACACCTTTATAATGACAGACACGTCGTTACATCGACTCATGGTTGTGCGCAATTTGTTTCAATGCACTGAAAACAAACATGAATTATAAATTCTGAACGAAGGAGAAGACCCGGGGAAATTTGGTACTCATCGTGCTAGGTTTGTGAGCGACTCCAGCTTATATGACACGGTCTCTGACTGCAGACGCTGACGCTGCCCAAGCTGCCGGTGCCGGAGCTCAAGCATACGCTAATGCGGTACCAAATGACGATGCAGCCGCTGCTCGAGCCCGAGGTTATGAAGGAGCTGGAGGACATTGCGGAGAAGTTCGCGGCGCCTGGCGGTGAAGGCGAAGTTCTCCAGAAGGGTCTGCTGCGAAAACAGGAGCAAGACCACAACTGGGTGAGTGACAGCCGGACAGTGAAGGCGCACGGCTCCAATTTTGTTGTTTTGTCTGGTTCAGCGACATCGACAGGCACACCAGTCTGTCATTTCCTTATGGCATTAGCTGAGGCTGTGCTGCATGCATACCCATGTTTTCTGGAATGCTGGGTGCTGGGGAACTGGCGAGCTATAAGCGCCAGTTGTACTCGTATTCGCAATCATCATGCATCCATGTCGCTATTTCGATGGCAGAGAGCGTAGGATTAAGTTCTAAATACAAGGTAGCGCTTTAAGATTTGCGGGGCAACTGAGTTTATAGGGATTTTGAGCATTGACGACTATTGCTAACGTTTGGATTTATCACATTAGCGGAGTAGTCAGCTTTGGGCATTTTTAAACATGGCAGAGGCCTGGCTTAACATGGTTAGAGTGGATATTAAGTTGTCATGTTTTGCAGCAAAATGCAGTCACGGATATTTCGGGTGTTTTTTTTTACCATCGAATCCGAGGGCCCCGCACCATTCATTGTCAGCATGGCGTCCGCGAGTTATGGCATTGCTTATGGTCTGGCAGCCCCCTAGGTTATGGTATTGCTCACGGTCTGGCAGCCCCCTAGGTAATGGTATTGCTCACGGTCTGGCAGCCCCCTAGGTAATGGTATTGCTCACGGTCTGGCAGCCCCCTAGGTTATGGTATTGCTCACGGTCTGGCAGCCCCCTAGGTAATGGTATTGCTCACGGTCTGGCAGCCCCCTAGGTTATGGTATTGCTCACGGTCTGGCAGCCCCCTAGGTTATGGTATTGCTCACGGTCTGGCAATCCCCTAGGTAATGGTATTGCTCACGGTCTGGCAGCCCCCTAGGTTATGGTATTGCTCACGGTCTGGTAGCCCCCTAGGTTATGGTATTGCTCACGGTCTGGCAGCCCCCTAGGTTATGGTATTGCTCACGGTCTGGCAACCCCCTAGGTAATGGTATTGCTCACGGTCTGGCAGCCCCCTAGGTTATGGTATTGTCACGATCTGGCAGCCCCCTCGGTTATGGTATTGCTCACGGTCTGGCAGCCCCCTAGGTTATGGTATTGCTCACGATCTGGCAGCTCCCTCGGTTATGGTATTGCTCACGATCTGGCAGCCCCCTCGGTTATGGTATTGCTCACGACCTGGTGGCACTCGCTTTGGGTCGTCATGTGGGCCTGCACCATTCTCGCCTGCGGGCTGTGCTCTGATGAATGCCCTCAGAAGGTTGCTAAACAAGGTTTTCAGCCATATGGGTGCGTTTGTCGTTTTCCCCAGGATGGCAGCGCGGTATAATTAGCCGGATTATGGGTTGGGTTCCTTTTAGATTAGACTCTTTTGATAAGAGTTTTGATAAGAGTTTTGGTAAGATTTGATAATAGTTTTGCCCGGATTTTGATAAGAACCTGTTCATCAGACAAGACAGTTTATGTGCGGCGTCAAGACACGCAAGTGCGACATACAAAAACATGACGCTTCAACTACTCATTTTGAGAGGACCTTAGCAGTGTGAGTTAAGAAATATTGAATGATCTAAGTATCGAACAGCAATGGAGATATAGCACCAATAGGTCCCTAAAGTTTGGCATCACGTGCACACAACACAAAAGCAAAGCTATCACATCATGAACTGCCTAGATTTAGTTGAAACTCAAGTTTTAATCTAAACTTAAGTTTACGTAAGTTGTTCAGTGCACTAGCGAGGAAAATCATTCACATGGATAAAACAGTAGTAATAGCTTTATTCTTTGGAAAAAAACAGGAGGATGGAGCTGAAGTTAAGTTGATATTTCAGGAGCATGCCTTCATCTTCTGCTTTTGTTTCGATAAACGCATGCTGCCGAAATATCAGCCCATCTATATCTCCATTCCCTGGTTTTTCTCCGAGGAATAAGGCATTACCGCTGTCTGATCTAAACTCAAGTTTTAATTCAAACTTACGCTTTAACTTAAACTTAAGCTCTAGCTTAAATTCAAGTCGAGCACCTCGTCGGACAGGCCTCAGTCAGGCCCTGCCATACGCAATGAAAGAAAGAAAGTCCATTAGCTCCTGGTTTTACGGCATCTTGAGTTGCAAGCTCTTATGTAGAGTTATCGACCTTCAGCGAGCAATGAGGCACCGGTTAAGTGACGTGATTCTAAATTGCTATCATATTGACGGTACTTGGTGCTAATGTTTCGAGCTTTGGTATTCCTCAAGAGTAACAGGGGTTCCGACACGTTCAGCGAAATATTGCACTTGAGAAGTATGACCCGGACCAAAGAAGATATTCCTGAACTGCGCAGATATCGTCACTAAAAAGTGTCAAAAAAGTTTGTCCTCCAACCTCTCATCACCCCACATACCATTCAATGTTGGAGGCTAGGAATATACTTTTGGCTCCAGCACACATGAGGATGAGGACAGCCCGAAATATTGAGGGCCGCCAGCATGATCATTATTTATCATTACGTCGTTTACCCAGTAGCATCCGATATGTTGAAGGTTATTATCTGAACAAGATAACTTTACATTCATATTCCCTTCAATACAGACAGAACCCGCAGTAGCTCAGTCAGGTGATCAGACTCACACTGCGCCACTGTCCACTGCGAGCACCAGCCGTGGCCACGCGGCGGTCACGTGACCGCATACGCCACGGGTCCGCATGCGCCACGGACACGCGGCGGCGCCGCCGCCGAATCCGGACACGGGATTTGTCGCCGTTCGCTCCTCATTCCACGCGGCGGCACGTGTGTCGCGTACGCGCGCGTCGGGACGGGCTGCGAACCGCGTAATCCGCATCATTACCCTCCCCTCCCCCTCTCCTCTAGTCGGGTCACGTCGTCGCCCGGCCATGGGGAGACGTCCAGCCAATAGAGTTCAACTGCTTTGTTCATCTCGTTAGTAAACTTTCCGGGCACGAACGGACTAGACAGGCCGCGCCGACGTAATTGATTAAGTACACCGGAACCGGCGGGCAGGGGCGGATACAGGCGCCGCGAAAAAGGAGGAACACAAGCAACCGCGGATTGCGAGATAAGGTTGGCTGGTGGGGGCCGTGAACGTCCAGGCTCGGGGAGTCTGGAGTACGTGAATTACGTTGGGGCACGGTGCCAGTACTCCCGCCCTTTTGCTACGCCCCTGATTGCTTGTCTCTGGGGAATTCCGCCAGACAGTGAGTAATCTGGCGACTGCGTAAGTGGAGGCGCTGTCCACTGCTTTGATGAATGGACTGTCAGCAGCGCCGTCGTTGAACGGAACAAGGATTGATCAAATGCACATGCAAGAAGGTTGATCGCTCGCATCGTCTGGCTGCGTGAAGTCAGTAGGTTTGCACCAATTAGTACCGTCATATCCAATTGGGTTCTCCAAAGTCATTTGGTGGCGTGCAACTCGGGCTTTCTTGATGGTTTTGCTTATGGCCATCATTAACTCATGGTTACGACGCTGTGCTACTTTTGTCTCCCTTCTTTCTCTTAATCATATCATAATTTCACCCAGTTATCGGTAAATTGATTATATCGATACCTTGACCTTGATTCAAGCGCGTTCAGTTTTTGATGTGGCGGGTGCTCGTGAGTCTCCTCGCCCTCCGAGCATAAGAAAGCGCCCATCGGATTAGATCAAGCAATCGTGCATTTTAATGTTTAGAAGTGCGCGGGACTCATCTTGGTGGTTACGAGCTTGCATAAACGTGACGACGGCACTGTTTAAGTCGTACGTTTTCTTTTCAAGTTGAACGTTTGAGTAGTATCCACCCCGTCCGAGGCCTGGTTCGTAATGGACCTTTGGTCTTGACGGCTTGCATGATTTAGCCGTTGGGTCCAACACATTTGCAGGAGATTTTCCTTGTTGATAAGTCCCCGTGTTGATAATTTTTGCATGGATGATTTCAGTCGTGTGACCCTCAGCGGATATTCTGGGCGGAATCCGGCTGGTTAGGGCGTCCGTCTTCGCAATGACGCATTTTTGTCTCGGTTCCAGCCGTATGAAACCTCCTCAGTCACTCACTTCCGGCCCGATGTGGAGACCCTGGAGAACGAGGCGAGAAAAGTGGCGTGGGTTAAACGGCTGGTGCTGATGGTGACGCTGTCGCCCGCTGTTTCTCCGCTGTTTCTCCGCTGTTTCTTGCTGTTTCTTCTTCAGCTCTCGGCTCATCTGGAAAGACCACACCGCCTGGGCAGAGTTGCCCTTTTATATCGGGGTCTATGCCAGGGGCGGCGAATTAGGCACAAGATTTCCTGTTGTTAGATGGACCCAACTTTACTAACATTTGACTCTGTCGAATTGCATCCAACGAAGCATTATGCAGACTTCGCCTTCCCCCTCACCGCCCGCACCGCCACAGCGTTTGAGAAGTACTGACGCCACTGGTCCATGCGTAACTACCACTTTCACGTACGCACAGCGAAGAAATGTGCTGTACGCCCCGCAGGCGTTCCAGTACTGGCTGCACTCGATGTACCTGCGCGTGCCGCTGGCGCTGCCGGTCAACTCGAACCCGGGCATGGTGTTCCCGCGCCGGCAGTTCTCCACCAACGACGCCATGCTGCTCTACATGGCGCAGCTGATCCACGGCGCCTACCAGTGGCGGGTCAAGCTCAACAGGTCAGTGACCTCGACAGAGCGTGGGCGCTTGTGACGACCGAGGCCTTTGACGGTACCGAGTGTTGAGTGCTGGGATGAGCGAGGTGAAAGTTTTATTAGGCGGGCATTGAGTCTCGGCGCTTTTGTTCGAAGAGTCGCAAACGACCTGTGAGATGATAGCGCCGTGACTTGTGACCACTGAAGTTAGTGAAAGTTTCCTGTGACGGGAGTAGAACACCAGACCTTGCTGCCTGAAGGCCGTCGACCGCTTGACTCCAACGATGTACAAGTTTCATTCACGGTGCGCACTAGTGGCCAATCAAGCTTAACGAGCGTTGCAACTGTTGCCAAATGCAGCATTGCAACGGCAGAGTTTCATGTCATCGCAATCAAATTGCCCGCCGGCCCGCCTGTCCCGATAGCTCATTTGGTTCGAGCGTCTGCCTTCCGGTCCATCCGCCCGTGGCGGAGTGGGTTCGCGTCGCGTTGGGCGCTCGTTATTTACCTTGACAGGTATGGCGTGCGGCCGGTGCCAGGGCCGCGTTTAAGGTCAGTTGATGTCAGTGGGCGGGACGGACCGTGCCGAGCACTGGGCACGTTGAACTTTTGCCGCCGAATGGTGCCGCTGACCTGAAATAACACGATTGAATGGTAGGGGTCAGGGCTCACACAACAAGCACGGCTTAGCGTGAGCTCTGACCATAGAAATCCATCCATTAAAATCTTGGATTAAACTTTTTAATGTAGATCTTAAAAATCGCTTTAAAAAACTGGCGTGGCGAAGTGGCTAGGTGCGAGACGACGGCAGAGCAGAGTTAAGATGATTGCTTTAAGTTTTTTCCAAGGAGCCAAGTTACGGCAGGCCGACATATTACGGATATGCTGCGTAAGGAGAGACCGAGCTCTCATGCTCCTATTTCATTTTGCGGTCGTTTAAGTTCACGTGTATTCATGAGCACAAAATACGCATAGCTGATGACGAAGGTGACCAACGCAATCGTCTGTATGGTCCTTCGCTGCAGCATGCGAGACATGTTTCTCAGCAAAGTGGCAAAGCTTTCCCATGAAAAATATCCTAGCTGGAACTCATGTCATGGAAGCAAAGTCGGGCACCTAAATTGCCCAAATAACGCGTTTGACCTTTTCCCTGCTCGAACTCCCGGGATTTCAAAGAATGAATGGTGCGTTTCCAAGCCCCCGGTCCTTGAGTGCAAAGTAGGCATTCAATCGTCACAATATGTGGCCAAAGTTCAAAAGGTTATCTGAAAGGTCAGGAACCATCGCGACCCTAGTGGCAGGGAAAGCTTTGGGCCATTTACTGATAACGCGAGAGCTTTGCGAAAACTTTTGACACGTGGTCACACTGACTGAAGGTTTATGAGAAGAACGGAGGGAGACGTCTACAGCTTCATCCCACGCCTATTTGTCTGCAGCCAGCAGCAACGAAAGCGCATTGTCTATGCTACATTAAAAACCTACAATTAAACTACGTTGCATGAAACTAAATTGCATATGGGTGAAACTTTGCATCATTATGTGGGTCACGCCAGTCACATGACTTGTGCCGGCGCCCGTCTGTATGGGAAATTGGAGCGGGCAAAACAATCCTTAAAAGTCCTGAAAAGAAGCCGCGTATTTCTCGAAATACTGTGCTTTATTTCCCTCCCCACCTCGAAACAAAGGTTGCAAAGCTATTGTCTCTGTTTTTATATCTTTTGATGGAGACAAGGGTAAGTGATCAAGAGGTCAAGCTTAAGTGCTCGGCCAAACAGAGGCTTCATTTCGCCAGCTATTGGCCATGACTCTTGGCAGGTCGTCACCTAGCAGAGATTTCAATATTATTTCACTTCAATGAGCCGTGACCGCTTATTTGTCAGTTCGTGCTTGAACGCTGACAAGGTTTCGACCCGGGCGGCAGCCACGTGCTCTAGAAGATCATGTACTTTCAGTCACTCAATGCAGTATAATGCAGTATAAGGCATTGACCAATCCCGACATTGGCCAGCACAGAGACGTGCCAGCAATGCGACAGCGAGCATCTCAACCGAGATTGGTTTGCCATAAAAATGCACACCCCCTGATTTCAGTTGATATAAACAACATCCACCTAGTCGCGATACTTTTGTCAGTCAGAATAAACGTAGAGAGCTACGATTGAAAGTTTGTCAGGTTTTGATTGTCAGTGCCGGCCATGTGAACAACATCATCTGCATGCAAAGCGGCTGCACAATGCGGTCTCTCGCAGCCGGGATATCAAAAGGAAACAATACTTGATATAAACGATAAAGGCCTTCAACTCCTGGATATTTCGGTACTTTGAGCTCACAGTTCTTGTGCTGAGTTATTGATCTCCAATACACAGGGGATGCTGGTTAAATGGCGGTATAAGGCAAATATTAGTTATGTGGACAATGCTCGACGTTCCAGACTGTGTCTATTGCCTCCAGTCTCATAGATACAGAATGGAACGCCGAAAAGTCAATATAACCAACGTTTACTCTCTACCGGCGCTCCATCAGTACTTAAGTTGTTCAGGGCATTTGCGAGGAACATTATTCACATAGATAAGACAGCGCTTATACCCCTATTCCTCGGAGAAAAGAAAAAAGGAGAAAGGAAATATAGATGGGTTGATATGGCGGCAACATGCCTTTATCGAGACAATAGTAAAAGTGAATCATGAATTATAGCATCAATTCATTTCTGCCATTGTTTCGATAAAGGCGTGTTGCCGAAATATTAACCCACCTATATCTCCCTTCTCCTGGTTTTTCTCCGGAGAACAGGGCTATCACTTCTGTCTTATCCATTAGTACCTCATGAAAATCTTAACTTTCGTGAATGTTTCGGCCTTGCATTTTGCTGAAAATTTGTGAGCTACTTCTTATCAATTCCGCAAAACAGCTGTTTCCACCCGACATTATATTTCATAATTAGCTGGCGGAGGCTTAAGACAACGGTTTCGGAACGAACTTTGTTATGCAACCCTCAGACCCATTGCTATTGGTTTTCAAAAGCTCTGGGTCGATTAGATTAGGTTCTGTTACCAGGCTTCACACGATTATGCCTGAAAATGCAAGACGGCTGCCACCACCTGGTTCATTTCGCGGCGCAAGGGTGTCTTACTGGCTGCTGCACTTAGTTGCATGATATTTCCATAACTAATCTCGCCTCTAGCATAAAGTCATTCATCGCCGCTGCGAACTCTCCACACGCAGAAGTCCCAAAGAGCACGCGCGGCAGCAGAAGTTCGGGCGACAGCAGAAGGCGCCAGCTGACGGCGTCGGCACGATTGATCTCGGCAGCCTCCATTTTCCTGGCGGGGGTGGAGCCGGGCGGCGGGTGGCGATGTATGGCTGCCAGATATGATAACGGCGGTGCTGCCAAATGCTGCCATGTCTTAGGCTTTTGTTCCGTTTGTGAGCGGTGGTAGTTAGTGGGCCGCTTGCTGAGTCTTGGGTTGAGGGGAAAACAGAGGCGGTATTTCCCCAAATCATTTTGGAAATAGCGGCATCGCTTGGTTCAAGAGCTAATTGTGCCCGAATAGGGCTAATGTCCCCACGAATAGGTAATGATTTAGGATGTCTTTATATATATATATATATATAT